TCTAGTGGTGTGAAAATGGGTTAAACAAGAGTGTGATAATCTTCTACAGTAACCTTAATAGAAACACAGGGTCACTCTAGGGGTGAGAAATCAAGTTAACCAACAGTATGATGATGTTCTACATTAATTTTACTTGAATAGAAACAGTGTTTGTCTAAAGGCGTTATAGCAGGTTAGCCAACAGTGTGATGATCTTCCACAGTAACTTCACTTGAATAGAAACATTGGGTTACTTTAAAGGAGTGAAAGCAGGTAAACCAACTGAGTGATGATTATCTACAACAACTCCAGTTTTATAGAAACACTGTTTCTTCCTAAAGGAGTGAAAGCAGATTAACCAACAGTGTGATGATCTGCTACTGTAGTTTCACTTTAATTGAAACATTGGGTCACTGTAAGGGAGTATAAGTAGATTAACCAACAGTGTGATAATATTTTACAGTAACTTCACTTGAATAGAAACACTGTAGCCCAAGAGTTGGCGGTAGGTGGTGATGACTAGCTGCCTTCCCTCTAGTCTTACACTGCTAAATTAGGGACGGCTAGCGCAGATAGCTCTCGTGTAGCTTTGCGCGAAATTCAAAAACAAAACAAAGAAACACTGTATCACTGCAAAAGAGTTAAAAGAGGTTCTTCTACAAAAACTTCCCTTTGAGTGAAACATCGTGTCACTCTAAAGGAGTGAAAGCAGGTTAACCAACAGTGTTATAATCTCCTACAGTAACTTTAATAGAAACACTTGGTCACTCTAGAGGTGAAAAATCAAGTTAACCAACAGTATGATGATGTTTTACATTAATTTCACTTGAAAGAGAAACGGTGTTTGTCTAAAGGAGTTAAAGCAGGTTAACTAATACTGTGATGATCCCCTACTGTATCTTCTCTTTGACACAAATACATTGTCACTCAAAAGGAGTCAATATAGGTTAACGTTATGCAGGATAACCAGCAGTATAATGGTCCTCTACAGTAACTTCACTTTAATAGATATTCTGTGATACTCTAAATAAGTGAAAACAGGTTAATCAAAAATGTGACGATCTTTTACAGTAACATAACTTTAATAGAAACACTGTGTCACTCGAAAAGAGAGAAAGCTGGTTAACCAACAGTATGGTGATCTTCTCCAGTAACTTCACTGTAATATAAACACTTTGTCAAACTAAAGGTTTAATAGAGGAAAATCACACTGTTGATTAATCTGCCACACTAACTTTAGTTGAATAGAAACACTGTTTCACTCTAAAGGAGTAAAAAACAGATTAATCAACAGTGTGATGATCCTCCACAGTAACTTCATTTTTATTGAAACACTTTGTCACTGTATAGGAGCGAAAGCAGATTAATCAACATTATGATCTTCTTTTTCAATAACTTTATTTGAATTGAAACACATTGTCATTCTAATGAGTAAATGCAGATTCTCGAACGATGTGATAATCTTTTTCAGTCACTTCAATTTGATGGAAACACTGTGTTACTCAAAAGAGTGACATCAGGTTATCCAAAAGAATGGTGATCTTCTACAGTGACTTCAATTTAATAGAAACATTTTTTCTTCCTAAAAGAGTACAATCAGGTTAACCAACAGTACGATTATCCTCTACTCTAATTTCAATTGAAGAGAAATTTAACTGATTTAGATATAACTGATTTTTCTATAGAAATATTGTTTGACAAATTGTTTGGATCATTTTATAAAAGCGACTTTTATCATCGTGAAAACTCTTTAGACGGTTAGAAGTGTCCTTTGGTGGGTCAGTGATAAGTTTACATGCTTTCAACGTGAAATTCGGAGTTCGATTCTCCGCGGTGGACACAACAGACAGCCTAATATGAGTTTGCATTAAAACATACACACATAAACGGTTTAAAAAAGGTGCCATTAGCTATAAGTTTAACTTCTTAAAAGGATTTTCATAGATCAACTTTAGGAGTTAAATTATGAATAATGTATCATTTAACATTCGATTCAATTTATTGAAGCGTTCGGACGTCACTAATTAGTTATGGAGTTGGTAGTTTACCTGACATTGAGATTAATTATAGAGAGAATGGAGTTGACGTCTATTTAGAAAATCTTCTACTTCCCATCCAAGTAATTTTTTAGTAAAATAAATAATTTAGAAATACTTATTCATCACGTGTTTAAATTTTTTGTTTTAGTGGAGTCATCGTTCACTGCATCTATAAATCAGTTCATGAGAATAGTCTATGTCGCTTTCAACTTTTGTGTTTATATAACATAAATATTTGCATCACGGACCTAAATCATTGCTAGCTTAAAATTTGGATATAATTGGTATAACTGTTAAGAGTCAAGAGGTTTTAACTGACTGCTTCGTGTGAGATTATGTTTCTGAGTATGTTATTATACTGGTGAAGACACTCGTCTATCCCCCTAGTGACAGCCTGTGTAACTAAATGATTGATGAATCGATAATTATGAACTCATCACCAAATATTTTTATTTAAATAAAATAATTAGGCTGGATTCCTCTCTACATCAGTGCAATGTGTACTAAGGACAAATAAATGACAAGAATTTCGAGAAGGTTGGGAGAAACTGACAAATGGTTATCTGGGTTTTACTTCCGACGAATGTTCTTTACGATGATAGCTTGTGCTTCTACAAATTGCGTTAGACAATTTTTAAGTTTATTTCTGGTTTTAAAAAATCATACTATAATATTAATAATTTCCATATATATAATTGGTATATACCACGTGAAGAAGTTTTTAATATTTGACATTAACGGGTGAGTTTTCCATACCTTCACTCTGGATGACAAGCGGTTGTGAAAGTAAGAAATTGGTAATATACTAACCACGTTATTACTACAAATCACCCAAACAGCTAATTTATTTCGTTATATATATATATATAATTTATCTTTAGTTACTTTTCTAGAAAGAAACTACGAATTAAATTCTATTCCAAGCATCGTAACCATTATGAATATTATATCGATAAATTAAATGATTTCCAGTTATCATGACAGTCTTTGGAGTCTTTCAGAACTAGATCCATTAGTCGTTGGACTATCGTTAATGGTCGTCCGAACCCCTTTTAGTCTAAAAAAAAAATAATAATAAGTTTCCCAAGTGAGATACACCATGTTTTTCACCATGTTAATTTAAAAATAAAAATTTTAGTACAGTGTTATATCTGTGACGGATTTATTATTCTATATTTATTTTAATATCGATGTTTGTTTAAATTAAATTTATATTTAGAAATGTACATAACGTATACTATTATATATATACATGTATTGCGAAACTTCCGTCTATTCTCTAAAGTTGTAGTAGATTCTCGAGTGCAAGAATCAGCAATATATGTGTGTACGTAAACGCTAATGTAGCTCTGTATTGTTACGTAATCTGAATTTTCAAGAAACTCTCCACATGCCTATAAATATAACCAACGCGACGCACCAAAAAACAGTATCTATTATTGGGTTGCTGTAATTGGTGTTCTATAAACTCCGTAAGCTATAACTGTGATTAACGCTTATTAATCGGTAAACTTCAGATATTTGACCAAGAACGTTTATAAATCTTGAACATTACAAACCATTTAACTTCAGTGGATTCACATCGGACATTAGTACTTTTACGAAAACATTACTTAACGTCATCGGTAGAAACTCGACCTGTAATCGGCGTGTGATCAGC